TTTTCAAAAAGGAAACACTTATCCTAATAGGACTCTAAGTATTAGTCTTCAAAGCAATCAGAGCCCAGTTTAACAAGGGGAGTTAAATGCTAAGCATGTAACATGATCTTTGATTGTTTCAAGGGTAGCTGTGACTTCAGATTCAGTTATGTGCTGATGGCTGCTGGATTTGAATGTTTTCCAGTTTGATGCCTCCCAAGTGAAAAAGCGTCTTCAAATGTAATCTGATATGCTGAGCCCACAGTGAACAATGGAGCTGACATCATTTACTGGACTGGAATTTATCACTCGGACTTCAGCGTTGTAGTTGAATGTCCAATGTGGATGTGAGCAAGGCCAAGCCTCAAGTTTTAAAGCATAATCTCAGGAGTTTTTCTGTCTCTTCTGCAGTGAGATCAATAAAAACAACTTTATTTAACTTTTTATACTGTTCCTTGGTGAGGTTTGCAACATCTGCTAATTTAGCATTGCCTCCACCAAAGTAGTTTCATCAGCATTTGTGTGATTATTACAAAAACACAACTGGACAGATTACTGCAAAATTGATTGCATGGGTCAGGGAAGAACCCATCAAATTGTGGTGCTGATCCGGATCAGGGGGCAGATCCTCTTTAATTATCCAAATATTTAGGAGGTGCAAATCAATGAGTGTGTGCAATTTCATGATAAAAATCATGATCTGGTAGATTTGGAAGTGGAATTTATTCAGCCACTATATGGTAACAAATAGGATTAGAAACCACCAATGTGCAGCTGAGAAGCGTAATGTGGCCTAAAGCTTGTTTTCATGTAGTACACAGGAGTGCAGTACACAGGTTCACTGGGCTCACTTCTCTCTGACTCAACTAAAAAAGAATGAATAGTTTTTTCACCTATAAGCAGAAGTGTTGTTCTAAACCTACTTTGAAAATTTTTTAAAAATCATCAAGTTTCCTGTTAAATCTTCAGCACACATGATTGATTTGTTAGTTTTGCTAGGCTACATCCTGCAGATGGTAGCAACACTATATATTTCATTCGGAGTCATCATTCCCTCTCACCACCCAGTGAAAGTAGGTACAATATTCACTTGTCTTTTAAATCTATAATCTTTTCTTTCAAAAGGAACATGGAGACTCAGAAAGATGTGGTATAGGTCACAAAAAAATCCATTAATTCTTGGTGCGTATCTGGGAATGTCTTTTTACTTTGCTTGACATGATGATGAATGATTGAATGAGTTTTTCAAAATGTTTGTGAGTTTCTCGTGAAAAAATTTTGAAATCTTGTTGAAAAAAGTCAGACATCTGTGTACAAGTAAAATTTTGTTCGGATCTGGATAATGTTTTGGTTTTTGTGAATCAAAGTAAATATTTTTGAAGGGGGTGATCGTCATTAAGTTACTGTATGGTAACAGACATTCCTCTCAGCTGTATTAGATTCATGAATATTTTGAAAATGTATGTTTACCTGGGGTATGTATGTGATGCAATACATGTATGTGCAATAAGGTCAGCCTTGGTGGAGGTATGCTCTCTCTGAATCCCCTCGGAGTTCCCTTTGCATCAACAGCTGACTGTTCAGATGGAAGCAGAGGGGTTCATAGAGGTGGAGGGGTGCTGAGGTGTGCAGTGTGATGCACTTCAAACCTCGGCCATGTGCAGATCCAACTTGTTTGAGACTATTTGAACAAATGATTGAGAACAGTTAGATCTTTGTAAAATAACTTCTCAGTTATGACACTGAAAGTTTTCTTGCCGTTTGTTTTGCTTTGGTGAAGGCGCCAGTAGAAGTCCATACCCAGCATACAAATATAGTAACAGTGTCTCACAGCAGTACACTGTAGTATATTTGACCCAAAGATATATTGGCCATGCAAAGGGCAAGTCCTATAGAGTATCTGTCGGTGTCAGTAACAACAGCATATTTCTGGATGAGGGTTGACCGATGACAACTGTTGGGTTTTCAGCTGATGGGAGATGTGACAGCGTCTCCCCTGCCAGCATGAGGGATAGCAGCCTCTTGTGGACAGATCAAGCGAGTGCAACGCTAGAGACATTTCTCACCCCAGGAAACAGATTTGTGTGGCAGAACAAATTTAACAAATATAAACTAGAGCGTTAATGGAAAGAAACCCTGGAGCTTTGGTCAAGATGCATCAAACATCTTCATATATAAATACATTTCTATTATCATTAAATATTCCTGTATGCATGCTGTTATTGAGTGTTTTGCCATGTTTAATCAGAACTAATTGGATAATAGTCATTTTAAAACCATCTGGGAACAATCACAGAGAAGTCACTTGTAATGATAAAGGAATAAAAAGCATCACATGACAACAGAGAGGTTGTTTTTCACTAAAGAAGATTTTCAGTCATCCCAGTCACTATCAGCAAAATGAGTTCCTCCATTTATAGTTCTTATATTATTTTCTATTAATGTCACTAGGATTATTGCACTAAGAATTGCTGGAAATAATTTATGTAATGTTGTGTCATAGTTTTTCAAGTATTGCAATACCCCACATTTTAATCAATATGATATTTTTTTAGAATACAGGAGGAGGTTGTAAGGGACCCTTGAATGTTTTGGGAAGATTCACCATCTTAAAATTCGATTGTATATCAAAGTGAAATATATATTAAGTTTTCAATATTAAGTAAAAATGTGTAAATGTTTTTTCTACATTATACAGTGCAAAGCATCGAGAAAATATTTTTGTTGCTGCCTTATAAATCATTAAAATTATTATTTACCCTTTTTCAGTCCACGCTTAATAGTCATAAGAAATTTTTATTTTGATGATGATTTATTTAGAGGCTTAGAGGATTTGTAGAACAAACTGGCAGAAAATTGCCAAAGCCAGCTTGTTGCTTCAAACCCAAGAGGACAGTGTGTACTGCTTCAACTAAATACTTGAATTAATTTGAATTTGTACATTTCCAAATAGTCTGTTGAGTAACCAAAGGCTGCAACATAGAATATGAAAAAGTGAAATCAGATAAATGTCTGAATGCTCTTTATCTTTTAGGAGCTAATGTATTTATGCAGCAACACAAAGGAAATTATCATATTCTACCTCCATTTCATCTTAATCTCCAGCGTCCCTGGGTGTGCTTTAAGAACTGACATTTCATTCAATGGCCCAACTGAACAGTGTGTGTAGTAAAAGCACATATTTTATTCATACAGGTTTTACAGGTCAAGTACACGATCTTGAACCAGTATCAATATAATAGCATTTATACATCCCATGTGTACCATTATGAGTTTACCATTAATTCTGAGCTGACAGGCCATAGAACCTCTTCTCTTTGGCCTTTTGCTCAACCACCTGTATGATTGTACTTGTTTTATATAACACAAGTTGTTTGATGAAAAGTTAGCCAATTATTTTATATTTAGCTTTTCAGTCAGGTGAGTGAGCAGGACAATAATGTTGAACAGTAATCAGGGGCTAAGAATTAACCTAATACTGAATCCTTATCTGTATTTATAGAACATCGGCCTTTGTCCTCAGGGATTAAGATGCTCAGAGGAGGCTGAGAGCCATAGCATGTTCGTGTAGTGTGTGTGTGTGTGTGTGTGTGTGTGTGTGTGTGTGCGTGTGTGTGTGTGTGTGTGCGTGCGTGTGTGTGTGTGTGCGTGCGTGTGTGCGTGTATGTGCACCTCTTCCATGCTTGTCATCTTTAATTGAGCACACAGCAGTGGAGGGAGAGCAGAACTCTTCAGCCTGCATTTTCACTGCCCACTCAAACATGGCTCAATTGAATTCAATAAGCTTTATTAGCATGGCATTCACTCGTGTGGCCAAAGCACAAATACAATATTAAAGACAAATCGAGGAATCATATAAACAATTACAATGTAAACAGCAACATTAATAGTTATCAAGATAATGGAAAAAGAAATTATAATATGAACTATAAGTAATACAGGTGCTCAGGCAAACAGCAACATAAAACATATACAAATAACAAACGGGGATGGTCCCACTGGTGTCTGTTGTGAGGATAATTTCTCGCTTTGTGTCAAAATTTTGAATTTGGGGTTATATTTTCTCATTTGTGGAAGAATTCCTGCATCACTGAAAACAGGGGTGTGTGCTGGTGGATAATGAAAGTGTCCAAAATAAAAGTCTGACTGTGGCACAGCGTCTCTAGGCAGCCAGCTCTGATAGTTTCTGCCCTTCTCCATTTGCAAACCTTCGTCACTCAGTACGTGCACTATTAGCGTCTTTCTCCAATTGGTATCAGTGACTGTGGTCAGGTAATCTGCCTGTTTATGACCAAATATGTTTCTAAGATGTGTTGTTACTCCCTGAGGAAGAACACATTGCATTATGGTGCAGATCTGGATCAGGGGGTGGTTCCAGGATTTTTTCCTTTTCATTTTATATAACGTTTATTGACATTTTCACCAGTTTCCCAGGGAATGAGTGTGTGTAATTTGGTGCAGCTTGAATTTAAAAGGATTGAATTTAAAAGGACTGGGCATCTGTCTCCCCATCAAAATGTGTTTCCCCCTAATCATGACCTTACCCTTATCCCAATCTTACCCTAACTCTATAACCACAGTGGGTGGAGGACAAATGGAAACACAACAGAGGGAACAGAGTTCAACACAAATGAGGGCGATCATGTTTGTGTGACCTGTGCCCTGTGGCCTGAAGGGTGCAGTACACTCCACCCAATATTAAAATACAACATATAAGTTTGGATCTGTTAGACACCCAGGGAAAAACACTCAAACATCAAAATCATGACACGTGGAAAATGTGTGGTGGTGCGATATGAAATGTTTTGGGGTGAGTTATTGCACTTTTGCGAGGTAGGCTGCTTTACATTATAGTAGAGTTAAAACAAGTTTTAAACAATTTAATTAGTACACTGTTCTAGTGCCAAACATGGTAATCTTAAATGTGTGACCCTGATATATTATAAAATGTATACGTTTGAAAAAATCAATCAGACTACAACATGCAGACTACAGCAGACTTTATTAAAACAAATCCCCTCCATTGCATGCAGCACAGTGAAGCAAAAAAAAAAAACTGCATCTTGATCCGTTACAGCAGCTGAATTTGACACAAACCTATGAATTAACAACAATGTGTGATGATGTCGCACAATGTTTGACTGGAATGAACTGCACCAAATCAGCACTGGATAGAATGCAGTACCACACATTTAATAAGTGCACCATTTACCCAACTTTTTTTAAACTCTACTCATTTGATCATTTATATGTTTAAGCGCAGAAACATAACACAATATAGGACAGGGCGATTATCTTAAGTGTTTGTTACAAATTCATACCCATCATGATTCTAATGATTGTGAATAAGCTCACTAAATAAATAGCGGCCCCATGTGCCCCAAAAGTAACACAATATCCACAGACTTACAGGAGAATAGTGATTGTCTTGTGCTACAGTTTTGGGAAATTCTTGCTCACTGTGCATTAGACACAACATGAATCAATAACTATTCTGTAAAAAAATAAAATCAATAAAAAACATAGGCCCTTGCCTGCCATTATATATTCAGCATAACTGCTTTTGCTAAAGAGGCCATAAATAAATGCACTTATATGATGGGTTTAACCTGCTAACTCTGAGCAAGGCTGGAAGTTTTTAACTTTCTATGAAGCCCCCTAAACAATATATTAATCATGTATATTATTTATATATATATGTATTCATTTGATGTATTTATCTTTCACAACCCATTCATTTCATTGGAATGTAACACTTTACACAAAAAAGACATCTTTGTACAAACACCCACAGAAAAATTGCAGACACACATGAACTCCAGTCACGCACACAGAACATTCATCGCAAAACTCAAAACCTTCACTTATTCCATGATTCTACCCAACCAAACCTGGACTTCACCCCATATACCAAACTTTATACACAGAAGACACAGAAGCGGCATAGACAGTAAGGACAATGAGGACAATGACATATAAGCAGTGACAGATTAAAGCTTAATTGCAGATAGAACATGTAATATTCTGAAGCTGCAGCCTTTCCTGTAATGCACAGTTTTTTTGCAGATTTGTCAGAAGTTTGCAAAATCAAAAAAGAAATATCAGCAAAATAATGATTACTGCTTGGTTGCTGATACAAACACACGTGACTGCTAAGCGAGCTGTTTCAATCCCTTTGTGACATCTTACATCCACAACCTGAAACTCTGAAATTTCCACCCTAACTTTGGTCTGCAATGTGGGCCGCATGGCTGCCTTTTGGTCAATGGCTGGACTCTTCCTGCAGGAGCTCAAAGGTCAGTTGCGTGATGTGCCGCCATGCTTGTTGGATGTGACGTGACTCAGTGGTTCGTGCACAGATGGCGAAGCGCAGGACAAAGCGTCCAGAGAGCTGACAAGGCACCAGGTGGATCTCTCTGCTCCTTGAGATCTTTTTCAGCAGGCTCTGGTTCAGCTCATTGGAGCCCTGAGAGGAGAGAGCGGGGAAGAGATCACACCCAAGAGTTTCAAATTTTGTCATGCCTGGTAGGGATACTTGGTTAAATACTTAACTCATATGTGACACTCATTTGCTGTTTCACGTTTCATTCAAATTGAATCATTTGTTGGGTGGGTAATTTATAAATGATGTAATTATATTGAAAACTATAATGGAACAAAGAGAGTGCATGAATAATTTCTCACCAAAAATGTTGAAAACATCATCAACTGGGTGAGACAATATGGAACAGACCGATCTAGCAGTGTCAGTCCCAACAATAGTTCTCTGTGTTGTTGTTACCTTCAGCCTGAAGCAGACCAGTCCCATGATGACCTCAGCACAGATCTCAAACCTCTTGTCGGCTCGTACCAAACTCTCAAACTCTTTGGCCAGGGCTACTTGCTGCAAACAAAAGACTGATTATAGTGTGTCTTAACCCATGCACGGTTTTAAACACGAAACAGTTTATACCACAGAAGTCCATGCAACTTTTTTAAATGATTTGGAACAACAAAATGAAGGTGAGGTCTTGAGTCTTACTCCTCTCATTCATTCAGAAGTGTAGAGGCTTAGCTAAACTGTGAAAAACATTTTTATCAAACTAGTCTCATGCAAGTAGCTGCACCAAATAAAGGCTGTAATTTCCATGACCTCCACTTGATGGCAGTGCTTTAACATTACATGCATATTTGACCCCTGAGCTCCTAAAACCCAGCTGTCTAACCCTTTACTGTGGAATACATTCTACAACTGGGTCATCACTGATAACCAAATGCCTTTTATTAGAGGGGCTGCGGGATGACACACATCCTGATAGAAGAACTCTATGAATGTGTGTGTGAGTGAATGACAAAAAAACCTGTGAGTGGCCATCAAGAGTAGAAAAGCGCCAATAAATACAGACCATTTAAAAACCATTTACTGCCTCAGATATCAGGATTCATTAACCATGATTGCCCTCCTGTAGAATAATGTTAAAACTGCTCCTATATCATTATTTTCCCCCTCATGTCACAGAGACGTGTGGTGAAACTGCACGTGCATCACTGCATATAATCAAAATTGTGGATGAAATTCAAGTCCACTATTCCTGCCATGTCCCCTCGAATGACGTCAAACATTGTCTTAAATGAAAAACAACTGTTAAAAAACTGATTCCCAGTCAGTCGTTCCTCATCATCCAGATGTGATACCATGTTTTTCACCACTACCTTGATGCTAAATTGAAATTTGTCATTTACAATGTATTTGTATTAATGGGAATACACAATCAGTGTTGGGAAAGAAAGAAAGACGATACAGAAACAGAACAGAAACTTGCTACGTCACACATGCTGTATTTCCATTTAAACAATTCTAACTCTGAGATTTAACAACAAAATGTCAGGACCGCTCTATCTGATCTAGAAGATGGATGTGATGTGTCATGGGTTATGGCTGCAGGGATCAATGCTGCCTCTGCTGCCGCTTCATTTAGAATGGAGAGTAAACACAAAACAGGCTCATTTGATTGACAGTGCAGACTGGAGGGAGGAAGAAGAAGATGAGGGGGAGAGACAGGCATGCAGGGGTGATGCAACGAGGAAGAAAGGGCAATGGGGGAAAGGGGGATGGGTACGGATGGGAGAAGAGAAGAAAATGCCACGATAAAAAGGAGATACAGGCCAGACACATATGACAGGCAGGATGTGCTGATGAGGAGAGATGAGGAGGGAGGCAGCTGAGGTGAATTTAGTGGTAAGGAGGATTAGGAAGGGGGAGTCGACAGGGGATGGGAGCGAGGAAGGGGATGACATTTACTATAAAGGCATTAGTAACTGTAAGATGAGTTGTTCAAATGATGGGATGAGGGAGTGAAGCCTGACTGCAAACTAGTCATCTACTGTAGAACTCAGCTTCAGATGATGAGTGTGTAATGCCTCAGAAGGACCTTGAGTTGGGAGGCTCCTTCAGTTAGTTGCCTACCTTGCGTATATGAGACTGAAGGCCTGTGAGCCCGTACAGACGGAAGACAAACCACAATTTAAGTGAGCGAAATCTTCTTCCCAGCGGAATCTGCCAATGCTGCAGGACAGATAGGGATGAGAAGACGATGGGGGTTTTAGCTAACGAGTCTGCATAAAAACTAATGTTGAGTGAGTTATCTGATTTATGTAAAATTACAAATAATAGCTAATCAATCTTACCCTATAATCTGTGACCAAGCCTGCCAAAAGAAAAAGATACGATTAGAAAAGAATGCCTGTTATATCTTAAAAGTCAATGTACATATACATAGCTTTGTGAGGCAGTTGTATTTCGTCCAGGTGTTGCAGTCATTTTGTCCCACCTCCTTTATCTCACTCATCACTGCCCACACACACACACACACACACACACACACACACACACACACACACACACANCACACACACACACACACACACACACACACACACACACACACACACACACACACTGTTTGCAGTGAGTAGCTCATCTCTACAGAATGGAGGCCTGTGTTAGCGGGTGCTAATAACCACTAATTAGATTGAAGAGCCCAGATTGTATGAGAGAGGGCTTTTGTAAGGTGCCTCAGTGTGGTGGGAGGTTCTTTCTGTCTGCTGTTCTGTCTGTCCAACAAATTACAGTGCAGCTCTGAGCCCATCTGCAGGCGAGGAGCATGTGCACCAGTGCACACAGTAGTAACACACACACACACACACACACACACCGAATCATGAGTCTTAGTTCATCAAGTCTTATTAGTCTAAAAAGATTGATTTTTTCTTTGTTTCAGGTGAAGTAGGGTTTTGTAGCCTTTTCAAGTCACACACAGATGCATGCACATACACATAGGAGAGAACAATGTGACTAATGTGGTGTACTAATTTAATTCAATTACGTCACAAATACTGTAAATCAGCTTAACCTGGGGTAGGATAGGATTATTAAATTATTAAGATGGCTCACAGAAGCCAACATTCACACACAACCTCATAACACCAAAGCAGAATCTTTAACATCAATTTAAAAGAATTAAGAACCAAAGATATTGTCACCAGTTTCAAGGTCTAAAATTACTAATCTCAGTCCACACAAATAAGTTACAAATGAATTAAAGCACAGTCACACTCACACTTAGCTGTCACACGTTTATCTTTTTGCCAGCCTTTATCTGGATTGGACTACACTGTATTTCACTGGTGCAAGGAATTGAATGTTTTTGTTGAATCAGGCAAAAATACATTCTGGCTCAAATTAGTAAACCAAGGGCCTCACAATGTGAAAAGTAAACAAAGTCACAACTCTTTGCTTTCATGCAATTCAGTCGAGTTCATACAATCTGATCTGTGATCATTGATTCTAATAATGTCGGTGAAGTGACTCTACCTGACTCCTGGTTTTCATGTTTCAGGTACAGTGGGTCAATCTTGAAGGCTCCAATAATGTCTGCTCTCTTCTTCACCCTTTTCACAGGTGTAAAATAAAAAACGCATATTACTGGACCATTTAATGGTGGGTTGATTTTGGTCAGTATGGTCATACAACATGTTTAACTGACACTGCTTTAGTGTGTTAGATTTAACAAATATATCATCATATATCTGTTATATGATAAAGTGGTCTAATGAATATGTAGGTCTAATGAAACATAATAATATATCACGATAAATCATGATATATTGTTTCATTAGACCTGACAGTATAGAATATTACATCACAGTTATAATGCTGAAAAATGATTGTTATCAGTCAGTAACAAGAGACTGAGCTCGAGGTGATGAAAAAAGCTTCCCTCTGCCATGTGTCAGTGTTTGTAACACCTCTGTTTCCACCTCGTGCAGAGCATGTGTGGTTTTGTCTGCTGCTGACAGTCGGGGCAGATGGAAGGCGTACTTTTATTTTCACTGTGCAAATGAGTGAGGGGTGAACAGATATCAGCTCTGTGATGACAATAACTGCCCATTGTCGCTCTCTCTCTCTGGTAAATCAGTACACCTTATGCAGATATACTCTACCACTAAGATGCTGGATGCTAAAAATAGCCCGACTGGCTCTTTCGTTCAACAGGTCATTGAGTGATTGTATTCACACCAAGGAAATCCTCTAGTTAATTAAGCTCTAATTGAAATTTCTAGAATAAGTGCTGGAGTTGTAAAAGGTGTAACTTATATATTGAATGTGTGTTAGACAACTCACCACATTGTAGAGCAGTCAAAGTTGACTAAAAGCCATTTGTGTGGGTTGAAGTTGAACGAGTCTGCAAACTATAAAAGAAAAAACACTGTCAGATGACCAGTGTGGTATTACAGATATGAGTTACTATCAATAATCCCTTGGGACTGCTGGCTTATCTTTGTTAAGGTGTAATAAAGTACCCAAAATAAAATGAAATCTAATTATTGGTGATAAATTTCTTATATTTTTCATTAAATATAAAAACACAAAAATTCTGCAAGTAAAACCTACTATCAAACATCTTAATTTGCCATTAATGACATAGACACAACCGTTTCATCAACAGCTTTATCTAGACTGAAGCCGCCACAATTTATTTGAAATGCAAAAGAGGAGCACTGAGCCAACACGGTGGAGAAATAACCCTTTCCTGGCAGGGCTGATTCAGAGAAAGACAAACCCCACCTAATCTGTTCCCATCTTTTTGTTGGCTATCTTTTGTAATATCCTTTTCTCCTACCTCCACAAATGCAATAACACAGCATACAGAGTGAGAGACAATATGAAACAGACTCCTGGCTGACAGTTGCCATGCTGACTGATTCAAAGAGCGCTGCTTGCCTGCTCTTCCATCAGTCATATCCTAGCAACCAGCCCTCGAGCCAGGGCTGCGCTCTCATCCAAAAAACCTTCTTCACATCTCCATCAAAAAATGGTCATGTCAAAGTTATGTACTTTAACTACAGTACAGTATATGAAATACTCTATATATTACTGCATACGGCTTAAATAAGTTTGTGAACCAAACTTCCTGAAAGAGTGCCCTGTAATCATATATTCTCACTGCATAAAAAATACAAGAAAATGTAAAAATGCAAGTTAAATGGAAGAAAAGCTGGTAAGCTATATAATAATTTCCAGGGGCTAATTATATAGCTAGGTGTGCAGGAGAAGAGATGGAACAACAGTTGGTTCTGTTTTCTCTGTCTCCCCACCAACATTGTTTGAATTTGTGTGTCTAATAAACAGTGATATATAAAGGTCTAACGCTGCCTCAGGAAATTACTTTGTCCTTATCTCTGCGTCTCTGCACAGCTTGGGGAGCAGCAGCTGCCTCGGCGGCCTCAAACAGATAGACGCTCCCATCTCTCTCCCGTCGATTGTTCGGCCTATTACTCACTCTTGCCTGCTTCCTCCTTGACATTAACGTTATGCCACTTTCAAACAGAAAACAAAGCAGCTGGATATAATCAGTATGCAGTTACTGTTTTCTCTCATAGATGTTATGGGAGATATTTTACAAGCAATTGAACAGAATTAGATACCCTTGTTATTTAGCAGCAACTGTATCTATGCAAGCGGATGCTCTCTGGAGTTTCAAACCACTTCAACCAAATCAAACATGTCATACATGTCATACATATATTGTGATGTTCAAAGTTAAAGCCATCACATTTTTCTTATGAAAAAATCTTGGAGCAGCTTGATCATTGAAATTTTACCTAGAAGCCCTAACACTGTTTCCAAAACATTATTAGTATCTGTAAATACACACATATACATGTTTCAATGTTTTTACACACCTCGACGCCGTTCAACAAAGGCCTAAACTCAGGGCAGATAAATGCACTCCCAGCATAAGCTGCATCAATGTGCATCCAAATATTTTCCTCATTACCTGGAAGAAAGAGAGAGATTATCAGTAATTGAACAGCTTCTGTCAGATTGACTGTGGGATGTAAAACCTGTAGATTCTGTAATTTATTTAGCAGGATATGATTGAGGATTATTGAAAAAAAAAAGAATTATTAAAATAATTGTTAGTTACAAAATTTGTCAAGCACCAATACTTGGTTGGAGGCAGTGTGTGTGTGTGTGTGTGTGTGTGTGAGAGAGAGAGAGAAATGAAGTAGCATCAAGTGTGTGCTGCTGCAATGACTCACATATGGGCCCCAGCTCGGTGATCTGATCAAAAGCACACGATGGAGTGGTGCCGAGAGTCGCACAAAACTGGAACACACACACACATTCAAATCGTAAAATAAACATAGTCAGGTAATAAAACCTGTGCTATTTTCACAGTCTCAACACTGACAGATTAAATTGTGCAAGATACCTTTATTCATTAAATTCACCGTCATTGCAGCTCCTGAATCATGTTGCTTTTATACAAAGACTGAAACAAATGTCTTATTTAAACATTCAGTAGATCACATGCAGCCAGGTTCGACACAGAGACCATTGACAGCTGCTGGACTATTGCAGCCTCCTGAACATTACACCCTGATAGCGATCTGTGGGTCCAGTTGAGACAGGGATTATTGTCCTTAACCAGACGGACGTAGATTAGGTTCAGCAGAAACAAATGTATCCTTCAGCAGAGGCCTCAGGGTGTGCAAAGCAGAACTGGAGCTGTCAACTCAGTGGGTGGTTGTGCGATTGGCTCAGAGCGTATCCAATGACAGATGTGTGTAATTTCATTTACTGTGAAGAATAGTGATGTTTATTGTTTGAGCTGTGCCTGTCTGCCTGTGTGTGTCAGGTGTGTGATAGCTGGATAGACAAAGATTTGTATTTACAAAGAAAGGGACAAGTCCAGCTGCTTTGTCCTCCTCCACCATTTTCTTCAGCATATCCCCTCTGACAGCGTAGCTGTTGTCTGTAGGAACCTTCCTCATCGTCACTCCTCCAATCAGAGCCGCACGCTCCACCGAGGAATGAGCCTGACGAGCAGAGAGATGCACCGTTTGTGATTAGTGAGAAAGAAATGACGATGACAAGGCTGTTTACCTCCTGCCTTAACAGCAGATTTATAGATTTATTGAATCATTTTATGTTGTGGAATTATTTGATTGACAAATATTTGGAATTGTCAAAGTCAAGTCTAAGTTTATTATATAAAACAAAACATAAATATATAGAAAAGTGTAATGTTAAACATCCTAAATCCTTGAGTGTGTTGATTTGAATGTTTGAATAAATGTTTGTGACAATTACCATCATTATATTTGAAAAGAATCCAAATAATATTCTGATAATTGTAGATTTCAGCATGTAGTACTTTTTTATCATCTAAGATATACATTGATACTTTAGACATGTACTAGAAGTGTATTTTAGACGTGTACACACCAGTGGAGCAGTGTTCTTCAGTATCAAGAACTAACTGGTCTCCATGTAAAGGTCTGTGTGGCCCTCAGGCAGCTCCTATAACCCAATCACCAGGTCAGCCTGGTATTAAACCTGATCAGAGCAAGCAACCTCCTGACTCTGTCTCTCTCAGTCACTGAAAAACTCCTGCAGTATTCTGAGGTAACCTTCAATAATCGGAGCTCACGCGGACGGTTCTCCAATAGGACCAGTTACAGAAGTTAGCGTGTGCAGTTGAATTGTATTTCCATTTGACTTGCAGCACTGGACATGCAGATTTTGTTTATTATTTGTCTATTAGTCAGTATAGCTGACGCGTGAAGTTTTTTAAAGCAGTATTTAAAACATTGAGATTCACTCATATCTGAAATCGTGATGATATAATCAGTTAGGACTCTGGGTAAAATAAATGGAAATAGAGCTTTAGCTCAGCCACAAACCAAACAGGAGTAAGACTGTAAATGTGTGTTTCTTATTACCTGCTCTGAGGTGTACGCCACCAGCTGGGAGAAGATTTCAGCCTCTGTTTTTTCATGCACTGATGCCTGAACCCTTCGGATTGCTTTACAACGAGCAGCAAGCAGCGACATCAGGGTTGCCTCACTGGCTGTGCCCTGTTGGAGAAACATGGGAAACTTGTTCATTCTCAGCCACCACCCATGACAACTTGATGGCTAATGTGAGTGGGACTGCTACAATTAAATTAAACGTTCTTGTAATGAACATGCAGACCGAAGAGAAAATAGCTCATCTTGCCTAAATTTAATTTGGAAAGTTATTCTGTTGGGCGTGGTTTATGTTTGATGTTTACAAAAGAGCTTCTATGGTTTTGCAGCTGTCAGTTGTAGATGATAATGTCCGCTGAGAGGTGGATTATTCAGCCACAGAGGATTGTTGATGTTTCAGTAAAGGCAAACATCTCTTGGTATATTTAAGCATCATGGCAGCTAGTGGCCACTAAAGATGGAATAACAAACAAGTCATATATCATCACCAGGATTGTTGGGTATCCCAGCCCCTATAAACAGAATATAAACAGGCACCCTCTCAAATCTATATTAAGTAACCTGATTACAGGTGGTGTTAACATGCAAACACACCCACAGTTAGCCTTTTCCTACTGTTTAATCTTCAATGACCCACTGTAAACATGAAAGGAAAATAATCTATTGACTCTTCTATTTCTGTTTTCCATTATGTATTTATAGCATTTACTGTGTGTGTCCCTATTCATGCATAAATGCAATTATCATGATTTGATGTTGCTGTGTTGTGCTGTTCTATAACATCACAAATGAAAAAGAGCGATGCCCTGTGTATATGTAATACCATTAAAAAATGATCATTCACACCCTATGATGATGACTGATCCTCTTCTATAACAGCTGCAGGTTATGTCTCTTATCTCACTGGTTGCTCAAGTTAATACATAATCTCAATAGATGACTTATTTTCTGACATATACATACAGTTGTGACGCTGTCATGTAATAAAGAACCGAAAGTGCTGCTCCTTGCTAATCTTTGACATTTTAGTAGATTTGCTTCTGTGAAATCTAGATAATCATTGCTAATTGAATTCACCTCTGTTTATTTACTTTCCTCCTCCAAGCATTAGCTTGTCATGTAAAGAGAATGGCTAATCTTAGTTTCTAAGCAGGTACATCCTGTGTGCATCAGTTCACTGACTTCACTCCTGCCGTTACCATGATTGCCACATTTCACATGTGTCTGGAATTACTACTTGATATCATATCTCACTTCCCTGCTCTATATTTGCATATAAACACATAACATTGCTGTTGGTAAGACTACATGCATTGTTTTTATCCAGTCTGACTAAAGTAGAGCTATAATTAACATTTGGTGCTATGGATTTTCCCTTTGATTTGAACGCTGTGACACGTCCACATCTTCATTAGAGGAGAAAATGACTTCATGTGGAAACAATGTGATGAGTCATCATCCAGCCAGTCTGATGCAGAGAACGTTGTTTGAGGCCACATTACCACAAGTCAATGAATGTTCAAATCATTCAGTCGATGAGCACAAATTGCCACCAACACCCGCATCCTAATATAAGCTTTGTCATTTGTGTCAAACCAAATTCTGAAGAGGAGTAAAATTAAGCCCGACCTTTTGAAAGGTTAGGGATCAACAGAATGGATCAATCAGCCGACCTATCCATCAAACCACTGTAATTATCAGGAAAAAATATAAAAACAACCTCAGCCTTCCAAACGTACCCAAGTGCACTTCCTGTCCTTTAGACATCAGTCTCTGAGCTTTTCATCCATCCTCCTACCCACCAGTAACTGCTCCTTCCTTTTTTAAATGTAACTGAGCTGATATTTCAGCATAATATCCTTTAGTTTAGAGAAACTGCACAATTTAAATTTGTTTTCGATTATTTTTACAATAGCAAACAATATGACACCCAAGTGATTTATATGAAAATTAGTGTCAGCTCTGTATAACTGGGCTATTCATCATTTAGATGTGTACACACCAGTGGAGCACAGCATAGATACTTGAATCAGTTAATTTTGTCACTTATTGTTGTCACAGGCCCTCAGCCATCTCCTTACAGCAGAGTCTCATGACTCACACGGCAGTGAAAAAAAGTGAAATGTGGTCACCACGGTGTCTTTTTGAAACCCACTTCTCCTTTATGTTGGTATAAGGTTTTAATAGTAGGCTGACAATGTGCTGTCACAACACTCATTAGCCCCAGCTGCAGTGAAAAGAGCCATATTAGTTGCCATAGTGAGCTGGTAAAGCTGCACTTAAAAAGGAGAGTGGCAAGACAGAAAACAAAAACACTTTGAACCAGATGAGCATGTGCGCACACACACACACACACACACACACAC